CCGGGGCGCGCCGGGGCCGTCCCGCGCGGAGCCAAGTGTTTCCCCTGCAGCCACGTTGGCGGGAGAGCTCTGCCCTCTGTGGAAACCTCCTGACCATGTAAATTCACAGACTTCTCCTTATCTGATTATGCCCCAGTTCTGAGAAAACAGGAGGAAAGAGCTGTAATATTTAGGTTGTGTGGTAAACACTCGAAAATATGGACTTTCTAGGTTCTGTCTTTATTTAGCAGCATAACTTGCAGATAGAAAAACAGCAGTCGTCCCTTTCCCTTTCCATTTCCGTTTTTTGTCTTTTTTTCCTTTCTCTTTTTTTTCTTTTTTCCTTTTTTTTCTTTTTTCTTTTTCTTCTCCCCCCTACTGCTACCATACAGGAGATGTGACAAGTGATACACTTAACTTTCCAAACAGAGCTATTCAGATATGCTCTTATCAGTGATGGAAATGAGGTCATAACTCTATTATTCTCACACACTCACACCAAAAAAAAAAAAAAGCAGGTTATATCAGGCTTAGAAAGGTGAGAAAATTACTGCATATTAGCTACAGTGTATGGCTGCAGATTTAATCACAGAATGCTTAGAGTTGGAAGGGACCTCTAGAGATCATCTAGTCCAACCCCTGCTCCAGCAGGGACACCGAGAGCACGTGGCACAGGGCGGCATCCAGGCAGTTTTGGAAGAGAGTTCTCTCCAGAGAAGGAGACTCCACAGCCTCTCTGGGCAGCCTGTTCCAGGGCTCTGTCACCCTCACAGGAAAGAAGTTCTTCCTCACATGGAGATGAAACTTCCTATGTTTCAACTTACATCCATTACCCCTCGTCCTGTCACCGGCCACCATGGAGAAGAGTGTGGTCCTATCCTCCCTACGATCACCCCTCAGATGATACTAACACACAAACACTTCTCATTTACCCCAGGTTAGCAGATACACATGAACACTAGTTCTGGATTCACTAGCTCATGGTAACTTGCATTTAGTACATTTTGTCACAGCAGTCAAAAATCTCAGGAAAAAACGCTGGTTGTGGCAACATTTATTCGTGTAATGTATTGACCAAATGTCCTTGAATTCAGCTGCTTGTAGCTATTCCAAGCTTGCTTAGACTCCAGCAACTGCCCTGGTCTGGGTTTTGTTATTTGGGGGGGTATTTTTGCTGGCTTTTGGTTTACCTACTCTGAGGGCATATTCCTTTGGTAGTTCTGCAGATTTTAAGGGCAGAATGAGCTAGGGATCACGTTTAATCTCACTTCAAAGTTAAAAAGTTTCACCCAGATACATTTATATTAAGACGGAAAACAAGAGAACCCAGTGTGTTCATACCCAACCGTGTATCACAGGCTCATTGGTGGCAGGAAGATCCTTCCTGGCCCTGAAGGCTTCTGCCTCCTGCATGAAGGGCTGTAAGTGACAGGAGCAGTGCAATTCCCCAGAGCTTCCCGAGGAAAACTGATCAACAGGGATGCTCTGCGATCCACTGCCGGATGCTTGAGGGAACCAAGTGCTGGGACCAGGCCTCTGGATAAATTGGTGGTGTTTCATCACCCTCACACTTAGAAATCTGCCTCTGATTGGAGGCTGAATTTGTCCGGTTTTAGCTTTCTGCCCTTGAGTTTTGTTGTGCCTTTGCAAGTTTAAAAAAAAAGCTCCCGCTGGTGTATGAACCTATACATACTGGCAACTGATCTGAACTGACTGTAATTAGTTTCATAAATACACATAAGTGTACAGCTTTTTTGTGGCTTGTGGGATTCCAGATGACAAAGTAGATGACCTGACAATCTGTTCTGGTCTTAAAAGCCTATGAATCTATGTTTGTGGCCCTCTGTGAACATAGCTACATAGATCATTGTTGCCAAAAGTTCTTTTTTTTATAATTTCATCCAACAGGAAGTGTTACAGAACTGAGACATGGAATCAGTGATGTGTCTGAATACTAATAACCCTTTACGATTAAGCAAGAATGATTAGTGCATACTAATCTGCTGAAAATCTTTGTTTTTTAATGCTCTTGTAATGCTCACCACCTTTGTATTTCCATGCTCAAATCATTATCTTATATGAGTTGTGAGTAATACAGGTGACAATAACTAATCAGAATTACAATTGGTAAGTTATTCTAAAAGGCAAAATGTTTGACTTTAAGTACAGAATGCAATGAATTGCAAGGTCCACATGTCCACAGAGACTAATGAGGTGCTTTGAAACCTATTACACAGAGCCTGAGCTGCTGAAGTGGCGCTGAAGTG